ATTATCGTTAATATTTAATTAAAACTTTCTCGTCTGAAAAATATTTTATAGCTATTGTTAATAAGTGTTGGAAAATTTAAATTTACGCGCCTTTGCATTTCCGGATATGTCCGCCATCAGAGGCCACTTTTTTGGTCTCCTTTTCATAACGATTAGATTCCCTCTTTTATCTTTTTGCTCGATGACTAGCAGTGTTATCTATATTTCAATAGATGAACTTCGAAGTCAAAACGTTTTAGTTTTCTGTATAGTTAGAATTTTTTGGTATGATGGCGGTAGTGTCACAACACGTAAATCATATGTTTGGAGTTCTTACAATTTTGACTGTTTTTTGATAAAAAATAGCAAAAATAATTACGGGTAAGTTATTTATCATGTTGACATAGACCTGTACTTACTCTTTAGAATAAAATATGTAACCAAAGATGTATTTTTGTATCATTTTTGGTCACACCAAAAATACGGTTTCACAGTGAAACCAGTGGGCAACTACATTTTCTTTATTTCAGGTACCATGAGACGTAACAAGTGGAGTTATAAGCAACTAGAAATGTTGTCCGAAGACGATTTGGAGGATTTATTGGCAGAAATACCCTCAGATAAGGAGTCAATTGTCAGTTCGGGTTCCGATAGTGACTCCGAGGATTTACCAGTGGTTCATCGAGATACTATTCTAGAAACATCTCCACCAAAAAAAAATAAAAATTCTATCAGACATCACCATATTATCGACCACTATCAAAAACGGAAATAAATCTATGAGTGTTACACTTGTCCCTCCAAAGATTTTGAGAACAATTGAAAGTAGCGAAGATGAAGAGGACAGTGACGATGATGAGAAAACACGCAAGGTGCCAATACAACTAATAAAAAAGAGTGATTCGAAAGGAAAACGGAAGGTAGATGAACCTGCTAAAAATACTAAGAAAACATCTAAAGTGACAGAAAAGAAAAATATATCAAAAAATCCAGGCCTTATTTGGAATAAACAATTCATTCCAAATACTATTATTCCTTTCAATATGGAACATGGACCATCTGTTGAGAGTACAATAGAATATCCCCATGAAATTTTTTTGCTCTTAATGAATGAAAATATACTGCAAAATTTAGTGTTTCAAACGAATTTGTATGCGACTCAAGAAGGTAAACCGTTCAAGCCAACATCTAAACGTGAAATTTTACAATTTTTAGCTGTAAATATCCTTATGCGTATCAAGTCATCACCTAGCTACAGAGATTACTGGTCTTCACAGGATATTTTGAGAGAAAACTGTATTTCGAAAATAATGAACAGAAACAGGTTTAGTTGGTTACTTGGGCATATTCATTTGAATGATAATTCCCTTCAGCCTGATAGAGGAACTCCTAATTACGATAAACTTTATAAAATACGTCCGATTTTAGAAGAGCTACTGGAATCTTTTCAACAGTACTATAAACCAGGAGAGCATCAGTCTATCGATGAAAGTATGATTCGTTTCAAGGGCCGTTCCACTTTGAAGCAGTATATGCCCAAAAAAACCATAAAACGGGGTACAAACTTTGGGTACGTGCTGATGCTGTGACTGGTTATGTTCACGAGTTCCAAATATACACTGGCAAAGTAGACAACGTAAAGGTGGAAACTGGTTTAGGTGAACGTGTTGTGAAAGATCTCACAAAAACTCTTGTTGGCAAAGGACACAAGGTTTATTTTGACAACTATTTTTCGTCGGTATCTCTTATGAAATATTTATTGGAGAACAATATTTACTCATGTGGTACAGTAAGATCTGATCGTGCTAATTTGCCACAAGATATTGTAGACGAAAAACAGATGGATCGAGGAGAAACAGATTGGCGGCAGGCTTCCAATAAAATGGTCTTCACTAGGTGGAAAGATAAGAAGGGGATCAATTTTTTGTCCAACTTTCATGATCCTACTGAAATGGTATCTGTCGAAAGAAGACAGAAGAATGGTTCCAAAGAAACTGTGGCTGCACCAACAGTTGTAAAAGACTACAACAAATATATGGGTGGGGTGGATAAGGCGGATATGCTGAAGAGTCTATACGAAATAAATAGAAAAAGTAAGAAATGGTGGCATCGCATTTTTTCCATTTACTTCATTTAGCAGTAACTAATGCGTTTATCATATTTAAATGTAGACGTCCAGGACGTGCATTATCCTTAAAAGAATTCCGATTAGCCGTTGTTACAGGTCTTATTGGTGCTAATACAGATACCCCAAAAAAGGGACCAAAACATGCAGTAAATACTTTCAAAAAATACGTACCTATTGAAGTTAGATACGATAGAGTGGCTCATTTGCCTCTTCATGGAACATCAAAAAGATGTGGGTTATGCAGTACAACCGCAAAGGTTCATCGGACTCGCTGGTTTTGTCAAACATGCGATATTGGTCTGTGTTTATCTGACAATAAAAATTGTTTCCAAAAATTCCATACCATTGAATAAGTGACTTGTGTCCCAGTGGTTTCACGGTGAAACCATACTTTTTTTGTAATATTTGTTACTATTAAATTTAAATTTTCAGAAAAAGTGTTGATTTAATTAATTAAGTTTCCGAAATTTCTTTTATTTTAGAAAAAATGAGAAAAAAACAATGTGGGCGCAAAGGGTTAAAGAAAAATGGCAGCAGCCTAATAAAACCGTTTTAAATTGTAAATTTTTGGTTAAATATTGTCCTGTTAATGCGATGTAACGTTTAGTTACTCCAGATGTCCAGAGGTCAGTAGTAATACAGATATTTTCTACTTCTTTAACAACTTCTGATCTAATAATTTGCTCAGTTTTGGTATAACATTCCTGAAGTAATGAACCTGACAAAAGTTTTTCTTGTTGGCGGTTTATATCCAGGAATCCACCCTGCAAACTTTATAAAAGCTCGTTCTTCAACTATGGAAAACGGATGAACGAGTATTTGCATAGGTTTAGTAAATCCATATCTATTTGTTTCTTTTGTTATATTTTTATTAATGGAAGTATGCATCACCTTTTGGCGCTTGGGTTTGGTGGCAGCGTGTCAGTACTTGTAGTAGAAGTAGTCGAAACGGACAGAAATTCGTCAGGAGAAGTTTCAATCATTGCAATATTCAGAAAGTGGATCATAAAAGCTGCATCTTCTACAAATGTGCATTTTTGAAAATAAAATTATTCTTATACTAGGTCAATAATTTTGACTAAGAAAAAGAATTCTTAATTGAATATTTACAATAAATAAATCCTTTGACGAACTATCAATAAAGATTTGAAATCGAAAATGCAGATCAATCATAAATCAAAACTCATTTGTTGATCAGAATACCTAGTTATAAAAAAACAAAATAAAGAGTTAAGAAGCTGGTTACTTTTATAAAAAAAAAAGAAAAAGAAGATTGTACTATTGAAAATAAACCAGAACAAGAAGAAGAAACTGATAAAGATGACTTTAGTCCATAGTGTATTTTTAATGGATTAATTGGACATGACTCATCTAAACATACACCTGTATCGAGTGTATTCTCGATACAGGTGTATTCGAGTGTATTCTCGTATATCCATTACAGTGGTGGAAAAACCATCGCCATATATCCCAAAGTAACCACTATATTCATAAAATATTGTAGTATTGTAAAAAAATCTGTTCCTTGTGAAAACATGTTCAAAATCTGATTTAATTTTAAATAAAATAAGAACACGGTTAACAAGAAAAGTGGAAAAACTTATGTTTTTAAATGTCAATTTAGACGATTCGCGATTTAATAATGTGTAATGTAAATGTAAGTACTATTTGTATTGTTTAATTTATTTTTCAAGTTATAATAAATATACCCTTTGTTAGTTTCTTTCACTTCAATACTTATACACATAAACGATAATAGCCAATATGCTTCATCTAATTTACATACCGATGCACGTCAGAGATCGAAGTTGACATAGTTGCTAAAGCATAAAAAATCCTGACTCCATTTTAAATCAAATAGATCACATAATTATTGCAAAAGTATTACCATCTCTTTACAACGACTATTTAAATTCTTACCTGACATTTTTGAAATAAAACACACTAATTTTGTTCTAAAACGACCAGATTTTATTAAATAGGTAAAAATATAAAACAAGAGGTATTCACTTTAAAATTCAAAATAATAAAATACTAAAAAAGTCAACACCGCAACTGTCAAATAAGTGTTACCAATTTATGCCAAAATTTCACCTTCGTTCGATTATAGTTAGTTTGTTCCGAACAAATGTTCTGCATATAAACGCTTTATAATGCATTTATACAAATTAAATTAAACATATTATTAAGTTAACATTAATAGAAATTTTGAAATATTATTTCTACGCGTATTCTAAAAAAGAACACACCTACCACCTAAATATTTCGTGTTGCTTATGATCGGAACTACTCGTCTCACTAATGGGCAATGGACGTCAATAAGATATATGGAGGGGATACCAATGGGAAATATGAATGTTATCTTTGTCTATTCGCTGAAAATATGATTTTATGTCTGTGTTAGATATCCCGTTAAATTTTACCATACCGACCATAATCTTTTACCTACACTGTATATATGTATATATTTACTTATGTTAACTTTTATGAAAAAATTTAAAAGAAATATCCACCAATATTGAATATATTATCTTTTGTGATACTTTGTAGAGACCTGTCTATACTTTTTGGTCATTATTTAACAAGTACATTATTTCATATTAAGGAGAATTCGGGTACAGTCCACAAATCCGAAAGTAGGCCATTCTGCTAGTTCTATGTGCATAAGTATATGCATATTTACACATAATATTGAATGAGTTGAGGTACACATTAAAAGACAATATTGCTGACTATTATACATATAGAAGACAGAAACGCAGGATTCTAAAACATATTTATATAATCCACTACTTCTGCTGTCTTAAATTTTATTATGCCCTAATTTGATTATTGCATTCATTTTCACTTATACTCAAATAGGTATTTATAGTATAGTTGGTTTATATTTTAGGTTATGTCCAAGATGAACAAAAAATGGAAATTATGGAGACACTAATTGAAGATTCATATTATGAAAGCAATTATGCAAGCCAACACTCCAAAAGAAAAACATTAAATGAAAATATGAAAGTTGCAACTGGCGAAAATCCTTATGAGTGTGAAATTTGTTTTAAGCAATTTAGTCGAGCAGATCGTCTGAAAACACATTTGAAAGTGCACACTGGAGAAAAATCTTACAAGTGTAAAATTTGTTTTAAGCAATATAGTCGAGCACATTATTTGAAAACACATTTGAGATTGCACACTGGAGAAAAAGCTTACAAGTGTGAAATTTGTTTTAAGCAGTTTAGTACTAAAAGTATTTTAAAAATACATTTGAGGGTGCACACTGGAGAAAAATCTTACAAGTGTGACATTTGTTTTAAGCTATTTAGTCAAGCAGATAATTTGAAAACACATTTGAGAGTGCACACTGGAGAAAAATCTTACAAGTGTGAAATTTGTTTTAAACAATTTAGTCGAGCAGATTATTTGAAAATACATTTGAGAGTGCATACTGGAGAAAAATCTTACAAGTGTGAAATTTGTTTTAGGCAATTTAGTCAAGCAGGTCAGTTGACAACACATTTGAGAGTGCACTCTGGAGAAAAACCTCACAAGTGTGAAATTTGTTTTAAACAATTTACTCGAGCAGATAATTTGAAAACACATGTGAGAGTGCACACTGGAGAAAAATCTTACAAGTGTGAAATTTGTTTTAAACAATTTAGTCGAGCAAATCATTTGAAAACACATTTGAGAGTGCACACTGGAGAAAAATCTTACAAGTGTGAAATTTGTTTTAAGCAGTTTAGTACTAAAAGTAATTTCAAAATACATTTGAAAGTGCATACTGGAGAAAAAGCTTGCAAATGTGAAATTTGTTTTAAGCAATTTAGTCGAGTAGGTTATTTGAAAACACATTTGAGAGTGCACACTGGAGAAAAATCTCCCAAGAAAAAAGTGTGAAATTAATCACAAGTAACCAATCTAACTGATCCTCACTTGTTAATTTTATTTACGTTCTATGAGTCTTTTTACTTTTTGAAAAGATTTCACTGCGACTTCATCTTTATTTCTTCTTCTCTTAAACCACGGAAAAAAGTAAAGTTAATTGAATTTATGTCTTTTAATTTTGTTACTTCTTGTTACTTTTGTTCTTCTTTGTTACTTTTTTACTACTTGTTTAATTTTGACAAAAATCTTTTTGATACGGAAAGGGATTACTCCAAACATAAACATATTAGTAAATGGCAAAATAATGGATCTAGATATCTGCATAAATGAAACCTTGGGCTTAAAACAAAAAGTCAGATGTAGAATAGCCAACCTACATTTGAGACGGCACCTAAAGAAGAAATTTGGAGGTTGGGTTAGTATTTTATAAATCAAAATTTACTTTTCTAAGTATTTGTGACCGGATGGAGTCCAGAGCTTGCAATCTCCGAAGCGGAATCAGCTAGAAGGCTATTTTTTAATACATATGTAATATCATTATGCCAATAATAATAGATATATGTATAAAGTATTGTAAATCGATTTAGTTGAAAATAAATAATAGTTTTTCGAATTAGTTTTTTTTTAATCTCTATTTCTCTATTAGAATTTCTAGTACCGGTCATAGGCGCCCGTTTTGGGTAGGTCAACAGTTATTTTAACGCACAATATTTAACTTTCAAGCATTCGTGATACTAGATTATTAAATTTTCTAGTATTCTAGTCTTTAAACGTACTTTGTCAGTGGTATGCACCGTTTTCTAGAAAAATCGATTTGAAAATTTTTCGCCATGAAAGTTAATTTAGTATTTTTTGCACTAGTAGGCTTTAAACTGCTAACAGAAATATAACCTATGTTTTCATTGTCAAGTTTTTGTCAGTTCGCGAAGTTAATTATTTAGTTTTTTACTTTGTGGTATTCAAACAACAATTTGAATTAAAAAAAAAATTATTTTTACTAATGAGGAATACGCTTATATGCATTTATTTTAAGACGAAATTAGGTCTAACGCTCGAGCATCACAACGTAGATAAGTTGAAAATTTCCCAATCGTGACCATATCACTCACTCAACATACAGCTCCTTATCAAAAATTAAGAGAAACAGGTTCAGTGATCCCAAAAATAATGAAATAGGGCGACATAATGACGTAACAGCAGCCAGAAATTACCGTTTGAAGGCTATCTACCATGTATCCTACAATTTCAAAATGATTCATAGGAAATATCATACACAACGAAGATTAATATCCTTATCATTTTCGAAGGTACAAGCACTGCTACACGGAGATTTTGCTACTAGTGAAGAATTCGCTAAACGGTTACAAGATCAGAAAATGGAGATCTTTTTCTGGAGACAAAATGGAGATACTTTTAGATACATTTTTTTTAGCGACGAAGTTACATTCATAAAAATGAAATTTTTAATTAGTATTGTAACGATAATATTTTGCCTACCACAGGGGGCATTAATACAGGGGATAGAAAATTGGGGGAAGAAACTATTGGGGGTGGAGATAGGGCAAGCAAAATAATCGCTACTGATGCGAACGGCACTCAGGGTTTCGTAGGAGAGCTGGGGTCGTGGATAAGTAAAGATAAGGGCATTGGAATGGGGGAACTACAAAAAATGAAATAAAGGGCTCTTGGGATAAACAAAATAAAATAACCAAGAAACACCTCAAGGAATTTAATATAGGGCGCCACTTGAGGTGCCTAATTATGCCTATTACAACCACTAGTTGTAACTAGGGAAATAATTAGAAAACAAAATCAAAACATAAAAAACATATCTTTTTCAAATAAACTCAAAAAGGGTTGGCTCAAAAAAATAAACAAAAAGTTAAGACAACAAAATTTTACCTTTAATTATGTGTACCACAAACAGTTACAAAACAAATGATAATTACAAAAAACAAAATTGAAATCATCTAGATCTTTCAATGCAGTTTAGATTAAGGTCAACTTAAAAAAAAACACAAAAGAAATTCAAAACTTATGGTTAGTAATGTGTATAAGAATAAGTAATTATTATGACAGTTAGCCAAATCCTAATTTTTATAATTTTACTTATTACAAATTTTTCACCTTGTCCTGAAAGCAATTATTAATGATAAATGTCTATTTTTCACTTTAAAAAAAATTTAACAAAAAAAAGTACCTGACTTCACTAAATATTAGTTTTGGGGCTGGAACTGGATTTCTAAACGCTGCAAATAACACAAATGTCTCCAAGCTTCAGAATGGTCTGGAATGACCAGGGACAAACAAATAGACGAAGGAAGTTGAAGTTCGGCTGGATCATCGGGCTTCGGGTAAAAAAAAATTGCAAACTTCTAAGCTTGGCTTTTCAAAACTTCATTGAAAATACGATGGCCTCTTATATCGTTGCAACACCTTACAAATCTTCCATTTAGGACATAATACAACACATATAACTTTCCACAAACAGGATCTGTCGGCTTTCTGAAGATTACACGCCGAGCTCTTAACTGCCACCATACTACACATTTTCCCATGACAAATGACAAAAAAAACGAAAAAACATTACGAATTTGAAGAAAAATTCGGACTCCAATAAAACTACAAACGCTTTTGACAGCGGTTTCACCGAGAGTGACGAAATTAAAAATTTGTTCGCTTAACTTGAAAATCAACGAACTGCTGAAATAGCAAAACCAACGAACGACGTAGATATCCTTTGAAACGCATTTACATGAAAAGAAATCGCCGCAGTAAAATAAACAACAATTAAATGGATTTATTACTCTACGACGTTAGAATGATTGAAAACACTTTTCGAAAGATACGAACTAAAAAACAGAAAACATTCTTCGTTTTATTGAGACGATTTCATATACGAGGCGACTTTAAATATACTTCAAAGAATCAATCAAATTTAAAATGCTACAATACCCCCACGTAAGAGCGAAAACTGGACTAACAGGAAAAGTTTTCGTTTAGGGCGAACAACAATCAGGTTGGAACAACAGTAGCATTTTCTAACTACTGCAACAACACATAATGACTTCAATAACTCAAACAGAACAAAAAACAACAAACAAAAATCATAACCAAAACTACACATCATAACTGTTTATGGTTCTAACATAATAACATACAAAATAAAACTGGATGCTCGATTTGACGAATCGGCACCAGGTACAGTTCGTTGGCTCTTAAGCACAACGACACAATGGCAGATTTCTACTAAAATGGCTCTTGCCTAACCAAAAACGTGGAACAGACCAGTGTTGAAGTTTCTGGAAGCGAAAAGAGGGGTGCTTCCAGCTCAACAAAGGCGGGTGGCCAACAATATAGCTTAGACAAGCTTCGCTATAGTTATCCACATAATAGATAACCAAAACAAATATCAAACAATAACAAACTTGACTATAACAGTCAAGCAATGAATTTTCAACCACTGGTTGAAAATTAAACCAACACAAAAGAAGAAAACAGGATGGCCAATAGTTCCATAGAAATATCCTCTGGGATCGACACAGCGAAAAATTTCCAAGTCAGGAAACTCCCAAAAGGATCAAAGAAGAACATAAGTCCAAAACGTTAATACACAATCTTGGAAAAAAAAAGAACAGGGGCACATGGCATACAAGCCATAATCAATACACAATCAGTTCAGTCTCAAACTAAATACTTCCAAAAGAAACAAAAAAAATCGTAACAGTCTTCCAAAGAAAACAAAAAAGTCACGACAACACTTCATAAGAAACAAAAACCTCATTACAGATCTCCAAGGGGACATAAGAATCACCATAGTCTTCCAAAAGAACAAAAAACATCATTACAGTCCGTCATCAACAATAAAATTTTCAACTGGGAACACAAATCTCAAAAGCAGGGCAAGAAGGGAAAAGAAGAAGAAGAATATATATACACAAGGCAAACACTAATGCTTATCTTCCTTAAAAGCTCAACAGGTCACCTGGCGGACGAATCCAAAACTCATCGACCTAGCCGTTCCTCTTATGACAACTAATAAGGTCAAAGACACAGTTTGGGAAGGGAATAAAACGGCAACATCAAGAAATAAACTTCATCACTTCACGGATAATAATTGAATACATCTTCATACAAATCAGAAAGAAAACGTTCGCTATTCTTCAACAAAACTCGAACAGGGTCACAACATAAAACTGGGGAATTCTTAGTGGGTCATTCAACGGTAGTACTAGAAAAACTTCAGATGTTTCTCTTACATGGTCTCACAATCGACATAAACAAAATTTTCACAATAAACGGCGGCAGGTACTTTCACCTCAGCAAATCAAAACGTCACAATGGACAATGCCAGTAACTGTACCTCCGCTTCCACCAAATCATCAACACTACATCACAAACACTACAACAAGAAGGAATGCTATTGAGACTAGGTCAATAGTCTTACTTCAACACTTAGAAAGGCTTATCCTTTCTAATATATCACGGAAAGGGGATGCTGCTACGCAATCTTACACAACAACAGAAATATCCAAGGATACACAAATCCAGGTCACATGCCTGTACGTCCTACATGATACTTCAAAAACACAATACTCAAATCACCAACTAATACATTTTAGACCATCAACATATCTCCACTACAATATCTGACCACACAAAGACACGGAAAGACACAAAACTAACAGACAGAAAAAACATCAGAATACTTTCGCTATGTATTCTCAACAAATCGGCCTTAGCCAGGAATACACGAAGTCGTATCATCACTCTCTTCTACTTGTACACAAAAAAGAACTAGGGAGAAACACAAGACTAACAGACAAAAGAAAAATAACAATACTCCGCTTTGTCACTAACAAATCGGCCTTAGCCAAGGACAAACGGAATCGTATCATCATTTCCTCCTACTTATAACACAGAATAGGGACAAAGAAAACACGGGGAAACACGGAAATAACAAACATAAGGGAAATAACAATACTTCTCTTTGTCGCTAACAAATCGGCCTTAGCCATGGACAAACGAAATCGTACTATTACTTCCTCCTACTTATAAAACAAAAGACAACACGAAAACACACGGACTGATCATGGACTGTAAAATCAGAAACAAATTCTTTTTCGGGGCTTAAAAAAAATTTCACACATTGCCTGGACTATTAAACTCTAAGATACGAAAAAAATCTGACCTATATTTTTCGTACAACAGCTGATTTCTGAAACGCAATAAATTGCAATACTCAATAAGAAGACGAAATAGATAACTTATAAACACTTAAAGAAAGGACAGCGTCTACATACGAAATAAATTATTTCGTTAACGTAAACAAAATTCTTTTCTCAGACATGGGATGATACTTAAGACGAACAAGAATAAACAAACTTGATATCGTTCACATTTTAAATACCGGCAAATAAGGAATGACATCATTCCAAATACGTATTTTTTAATTCACAAGGAAATAGACGAAAATTATTTCTCATAATTTTACGAAAACTGGACATAACAGAAAATGGAAATCGTAGCAGTTAACTTGGGACAGGAATAGACTTGATTTAACGAAAAACTGAATAA